ATTTGCAAAATTACAGTAATTTCGCATTTACCGTAATGTGAAAAGCAAATGCGCATTTGGGAGCATTTCCCTGCTTTTCCCATGGTTCCAGCGAGCATTCCTCTATCTGCGCATGTGCAAGAAAATCATTTCTAGTACATCTATGGGCTTTTCTCACTTGTGTGTGAACGTTAAATGCGCTTACTGTAATTTCACAATTAAGGTAATTATGTGTGAAAGCCATTTGCGGAATCAAGGTTTAAGTTTATTTTCAGAATGCCTCATTTCCACTTTATTATAGCTTTCTGGGCCACGTGTGATAACATCCATAATTTTTGTGACACTAGGTCCATTTAGAGTCAGTCAGTGTTGTGTAGTGCATTGGACTATGACCCTGGAGATGAGGGTTTGAATCCCAGCTGAGCCATGTAAACCCAGTGGGTGATCTTGGTCAAGTCACACACTCTCAGCTCCAGAAGATGGCAATGGCAAACCCCCCCTTTGAAGAAACTTGACAAGATAATCCCATGACTTGAAGGCATACAACAAGAAAGGTCAATTTTACAGGTGTGGAACTGAGGCTGAAATATATGAACTTGTCCAAGGCTAGAGATAAGAGGGAATTTGAACTGGGCTGCCTTTGTGAGCAGAAGTGTCATATTGCTTTTTATGTCATGAACATTTCTGCTTGCACACAAACACTACATAAAATAACGTCAACAAATGTCAAAGTATATATAATTTGTCCCTTTCATAAAGCAAATAAAAGTACTAGCTGTCCGATGTGTTTTTTCAGGATATATTTCACAAATGAAATATACATTTGTGCAGCTTAAACTATTGGATGCACACAACATAAAGAATAGTACTCTAATAGGAGGTATACTGAGGGCCTGAGAGATACATGCAGACAAGATGCCAGCTCATTATACCAAAATGATCTTAATACCCCCTCATAAAACACCAGAATATATGCAGCATCTGTCTGTTTGCAATTTGGCTAGTTCTATGATCCTAAATGAGGAATGTGATAAGCCTCTTTGTAAACTCTTGTCTTCTCTGAACCTATATTAAAAAAAACCTCAGGTTCTCACCACTTCTACCCTGTACATCTATCATCCTTCCTATCTTCCTTTTTTCCTATATTATGTCTTCCTTTTAAAGAGGTAATCATTTTCAGCCTCTTCCCAGGGCACTGTCAAAGAAAGATTCCAAATATCTACTCACTTTGTCTTAGATATAAAGATCTACAGAATTTTTTGAGAACGATATATTTTCTCCCCAGTGACTACCCTGGCCACACCCCAGTGCTTTCATAAATTTTATTTTATTACCATTATTACTACAATTGCTAAAATTCCCCAAAAAGCATGGCTACACTGTCTGGGGGGTTCGGGGAGTTATAGTAAAATAAAATAAAACAGTTACTAAACTTTACCACCACCAACACCCTGGCTTCCGTATTGTGTCAAATGCAAGGTAAAGCCTATGGCCCTTGATCCATGTTCAACTTGAGCCCGGTCTCTGCCATGAACAAGGCCCAATGTATGCAGTTGGATCTGTGGCAATATGTGTTTTATGTTTCAATGAAATGAAAACTCTTTGACATCCTCAGAAGGAGGAGTCATAATTTCTATAACAGGCTTTGAACTCACTCTTGAACTCAGAATGAGATTGATTTAATATCAAATAGCCATAATCCTTCACTGAGTCCATAAAGCTTTTGCATGTCTTGCTTCTTCATCTTCTCATTCTTGATGTGAGGAAGATGGATAATTATCCCAGCAGGTGTTCTTCAAACATATCAATCCAATTACCTCCCACTTTAAGAATTTCACTTTTGAAAAGACAAATCTGCTAATGTTGCATTCACAGACCAAGCAGGCTTTGGAAGTATAACAGCTGCTTTCTCCTCCCAGTCCTCAGTTATAATCATACCAAAAACAGGAAGGCTTTGAGGAATATCCCAAGCAACTTAATAATTTCCTTCCTCTTCAATTAGAAATAATTCCATATTTTGTATTTGTTTTCATTGTGGGGAATGTGAACATGTATATGGAAATAAACAGTGATGGAAATGGTTATTTCTAGGAGTCACTTTTTTCAAAGCCATGCAATACATATAATAAAGAGAAGGAAGCAAAGTAGACTGCTGCGGTGTTGGCTTTATGAACACCAGCTTGCTAGAAGCAAGCACTTAACAATTGAAGGGTTAGGAGTCAACTATGCCTGGTAGAAAGGAGCAAAGTAAGGCACAAAGAGTAAGGAAAAGATGAGGAATTTTGGGTTTTCCAGATGTTATTAGACACCACATCCCAAAATCTCCAATCTGCATGGTTGATAATAGGGGATGATACTGCATTGCAGTATAGGTTCCCCTCCTTAGCATAGAAAATAAATGTGCAAAATAAATTTGGAGAGTTTATGCCATTAGAAGTAGCCAAATTCTAACATCCTCCAAAAGCACTGAAATACCTTCCTGTTAGATGTGTGGTTTATATTTTAAGCTTCTCATTTTTTTTGTTTTTGTCCATATGTGCTGTCCCTTAGTAGATATTAACTATGATTAGCAAATACATCAAGGGGCTATCAAGGGCATGCAGGTCAGTCCCACTGCCTAGATGTCAACATCAACACCAGATCCTGGCCAATTAAGACTGAGCTTTAAAATGCTGGGAATCATATGGATCCATAAGCAGGGTTTCCACCTCTGTGAGAAGAGCCTTTCAAGTTTATTGCAAAGCCTACCTTTTCAGTCACCTAGGGAGCTCTGCCAGGGCAGTGGGGGCAGCATGTATATCTATAGGATGTGCACATTTTTGATGGCACAGAATTTCTGAGCAGGAATCTTATGGCTTTAAATGTATCATCTTCACATGGAACAAAAAATAATGCTGTAGAATTCTGAGTCTTCAAGATGAGAAAACTTGCTGGTTTACACTTCCTAATCTTTTCCTCTGCATGCAGGAGAGTCTGAGGAAATCACTAACCCTTCATCTCCGGTTTACTGCACGGGTGGGCAATTGTCAGGGGTTATCACATTGGTCCCACAAGATGGTTGACCCCACTGCCCTACCACAAAAAAATTGCAATTTGCCCGCCACTGTTTTAGCTTGACATCTGTACCTGGCACTCTAGCTTGCCTCTCCCTCAGTAAGCCAGAAAAATAAACTTAGAATAAACTATGGGTTATTTCTCTGACTTATTAAGGGAGAGAAAGCCAGACGACTGGGGTTGAGATCACTGTAAACAAACAATGTTTGTTGCAGTACACCATGTGTTCAACCAGTCCTGCTTGCAGTGAGAGCACATTCTCTCCTCTAACAAAGTTAGAGTTCTGGGATTCTACAAAATTCTGGTTTGACAATGCAAGCAAACCTGATCATTCAGCATTTCTTGTATTTTAAATTGTTATAAGCCACTTTGAGTATCTTAAATGTCAAGGTGGGGTATAAAATGTTTCATATTTGTCCTACTTTGGGGTTTCACATTACTGGATGTGCACTGGAACACTTTGTATGGGAGCCTGTTCTGTGAAAATGCAGAGCTGAAAACAAAAATCTGCCTTATAATACCAATCATTGGTATTACATATTAAAAAATAAGATACGCAAACAGATAGGAGAGTTTGTTTCTGTTTGCCAGAATACCAAAGCATGAAAGGGTAGAACAATTAAAGATGGGTGCAACTGTACAAATTTCTTAAGATAAAATCTTATTTGCTGTTTATATAATTACAATTTGAAAGGCAAATGGCCCTGTAAATTACCAAGGAAAATATTCTCAAAAGCACCTGTGTGTGAAGTGCCACCGTATTGTTTTTCAGCACTGAACAGCATTACTGGTAGCATAGTTGATAATGGCTGGTGTCTTCCATGTCACTGGGATGATGAATCTACTCTGGATTTTAGTTCAAACTTTCAAGGAGCTACCCAAGCTACAGAAGCTATTTGAGGGATAATATTGAAGCCTCTTGAAACCACTTTTCTCTTTGGCAGTCAAGATAATTGGTGTGATGAGTAGCTATCCACTGTTGTTTAGATTTACAGTAGCATAGATAATCACATGGGATCTTTCCCTGTGGCTTTAATTTTTCAGATGTAATTTACAAATGGACTAGGTCTTGAAATCTAGATACAACAGACCAAATATGAAGACTTCATCTTTTAATTTGTTTGTGTGGGTGCGTGTGGGGGCTCTTCCTTTTATGGCTTCAAGATTTCCATTAATTTTACATCTGTAGGTACAGTAGAGGGCACTGTACAAAAGAACTTTTGGATGCTCTGTTTAAAAATTTCATGGGAGATTCTGAGACCAGCTTCAGATACTTCAGTAAAAGTGGGCATATTATTATTATTATTATTCACAATAAAAATAAAACAACAGTAGTTGGCAGAGCAGGGTAGGAATTATGTGGTCCTCCAAATGCTGTACAGCAATGGCCAGCATTCTTCATCATTGACTATGCTGGCTAGGGCTGCTGGGACTTGCAATCCAACAACACTTGAAGGGCTTTGGTTAAAGTGCTGGACTGAGATTTGGGAGCTGCAAATGTAAGTCCCTACTGAACTGTGAAACTGACTGGGTAATCTTGGTCCAGTCACTGACCTACACCACAGGGTTCTTTTGAGTACAGTATAAAGTGGTGGAGAAAAGAGCAAAATGTATTGCCACAAGGACATGGGAAGAAAGCCAGGCTATAAATCCAATGACCAGAAAACCAGCCAGCACCTGGCAGTGTAGTATGCAGAGTTCTTGCAACAATTTGTACACCACTGAACACACCCTACTCAGGGGATTGATATCCAGGAACACTCATGCTAGAATAAATCAGCTATTCTCAAAGGTGCTACAAGATTTCTTGTTGTTGTGTGCCTTCCAGTCATTTCCAACTTATGGATACCCTAAGACAAACCTATAATGGGACTTTCTTGGCATGTTTATTCAGAAGAGGTTTGCCACTGTCATCCATCTGAGGCTGATAGTGTGAGACTTGCCAAAGGTCACCCCATGTGTTTACATGTCTGAAGCCAGGATTTGAACACTGGACTCTAGAGTCACAGTCCAACATTCAAACCACTACACTATGCTGGCCTCTTACTAAATTCCTTACACCTTTTAAAAACTCTCATTTTTTACAACTGTTGTGAGGTACAGCGTGCTTCAAAGCCTCCAGGAACCTAGGATTCAGTAACCTACTAGGTATATTCGGGGAGAACTTGAAGTAACTTAAAACTTCATCACTTAAAAAAAATTCTGACATTAACAAAGGGGCTTGTCCGTACAATTAATGCAATTTTGCAAAATAATGTATAGTCTTTGCATCAAATGATATTCACAATAAAGTCTATTCTTATTAATAAATGAAGAAAGTGCATCTTCTATTGAAAGGGGAAATGTTTATATTAAATTTTATGTGACTTCCTAACTCTTCAGTGTTTCTCTCATGTTTATAGTTGTCCTCAGCCACTCGGAAAAACAAATGAGGGATGGCTGGAGATACCTACAGTCTCATAAGACTAATAGTAGTAGTAGTAATAATAATAATAATAATAATAATATCATCCTGAGATAATTGGGGCCATGTGCACAGCCGAATCTAGCTTGAAGAAGATAATGAAGCCAGAGTTGGGACTATCTTGTGACCCTGGGCTTATCTAATCTCTGCTGACTCTTCTTTCTCCTCCTTCCAGTCACGGAGCTGTTAAAATGCTAGGAATTCCACATGAACCTTTAAACGATGGAGAGAGAAAGAGAGAGGAAAAAGATGTCCAAACAAATCCAGCTGTACCACATCCACTTTAGGTGGCGGAATGACACAAACAGCAAGACTTCTGTTCAGGCAGCCTCTTGGAGGGCCTGAGATTTGCTGAGGGCAATACTTTTTGGGTGCATCTTTGTTATTGTTATTGCTGTTGTGTGACTTCAAGTTGCTTCTGACTTATGGCAACTCTAAAACCCTACCATGGGATCTTCTCTGAAGTTTCATCAGAGGGAGGTTGTCCTTGTCATCCTCTGAGGCTTAGAGAGTGTGACTTACTCAAGATCACTAATGGCCTCTGCAGACCGGCCCAAAGGGGCTCTTTCAGGGGCGACAAAAGGGAGGACCGGGGCTGCGACGTGGGGTAGCCATGGCCTTGATCCGCAGCTAGCAGGGGCGGCCCAGAGCCGTCTGTCTGCAGTCCCCCTAAGTAAATTTACGTGGCTGAGGGGGGACTTGAACCTTTGTTTCCAGAGTTGCAGGAGTTTATCACACATCATTTAACACGACTTACTGCAGTCGCATTAAATTCTGAAGCCGGATCTTATTGCACACACCAGGAGCCAGGCGAGTGCAACCCGGATCCCAGCTGTGCTTAGCCAGCATCTTTTCAAAACCGGGAGTTTTCCATTTTTTGAAAAGATGCCAACTAAGCATGGCTGGGGTCTGGGACGCAGCCAAATTGCACTCACCTGGCTCCTGGTGCATGCAGTAAGTTGCGTTAAATGGCATGCGATAAACTCTGTAGTCCAGCACTCAAACCACATCTACACTAAGGCAGTCTGACATCACTTTTGAGCACTGTGTAGCCACGGTGACCAGATGTCCTAACTGCAAAGGAGGACAAGGCACCACAAAATGTAGGACATTCAAGAAAAAGGTAGGACATGACCAAATAAAAGCTAAAAACTCATATAAATGTATGCCTCTTGGTCATGCTCAAAATGGAGGCAGCAGTTTCGGTGGCTAAATGCCTCTGATAATATCAGGATGCCACCCACTTCTAATTTTAAGCCAGCTCAGGCATGATGCTTTATTTCCTTATGTGATAATCTTCTAAAACGAGTACCCAGCTTGTTGGACACAATTCGCTTACGCATTGTAAACCGCTTAAGGCGGTGTTTCCCAAACGTTGGTCCTCCAGATGTTTTGGACTTCAGCTCCCAGAATTCCTGATGGTTGGCCAAACTGACTAAGCCAGGGGTAGGCAACCTTTCCCCTTTAAGGGCCGAGGGACTTCAGCTCCCAGAATCCCAGGAGCTATTGGCCAACATGGGACTATTGGCCAACATGGCTGAGGCTTCTGGGAGCTGAAGTCCCTCGGCCCTTAAAGGGGAAAGGTTGCCTACCCCTGTCTAAGCTTTCCGGGAGCTGAAGGCCAAAACATTTGGAGGACCAACGTTTGGGAAACACAGGCTCAGGGAGTTCTTAGTTCACGGATTAACGGTATAGAAATGTACTTGCTATTGCTATTCCCCTGAAGCTGAGAACATGTGACTTGCTCAAGGTCACCTAGGGCCTTTCATGGCCCGGCGGGGACTCGAACCCTGGTCTCCAGAGTCACAGCCCCACACTCAAGCCACTCACTACTGCTTAACCTGGAGTATTCCTTCAGTGCCAAACT